GGGAGGTCATGATTTTTCGTTAGAACAACCAAAGTCTTCTGTTTTTCTTCCATGAACCAGCAAATGGCGGATCATTTGCATGTTAGCTATAATGAAATTCAGAAAACAAGACTTGTAATGAAATTCATGAAATGTTGTCGTGGTTTCATGTAAGGAAACTTAAAAAAATGAAAATGGGGAACTAGAAGTCTAGAAGCCACTCTGCCTTATATTCTTATAAGAGAAACTGCAGAGTGAGACTTTGAACCCGGGCCAGCGACAAGCCGTCAACAATCTTTGTGTTGTCCACATTTGTACTAGGTTGGGTGATACCACACCTTAAATGCTCCCATGATATCATCTTTGGAAAAAATAATTTTAGATGTTTCAAAAAATCTGATCTTTTTTTGGGGGTGAAAGTTCACAATGTTTGTCAGTACGATCACTAAAAAAACGAGATCCAAATTCAAAATACACATTGAGAAACAAAAAAGACAAATTTAGCATGAATAGAGTCACAAAAGGACAAAAATAAAATTGACACTATTCTTGTCTGGATTTGTATTTTTTGTTTCTCAATGTGTTTTTCGAATTTGAAGCTGAAATTTTAAGGGGTTGTAAACATATTCGTTGTGAACACTCATCATTTTTTTTCAGAATTTGTTGAAAAAATTAAAATTGATTTTTTTATATCATATCATGGGAGGGCCCTTGGGAGGAAGGAGGGGATGCGGACAATGTGTGGATGAAGATGGCGACTTGCATTCGTAAGGTGGCCTCGGAGGAGTTTGGAGTGTCCAGGGAAAGGAGAAGCGAAGATAAGGATACCTGGTGGTGAAATGATGATGTCCAGAAGGCGATTAAAGAGAAGAAAGATTACTTCAGACGCCTATACCTGGATAGGAGTGCAGACAACATAGAGAAGTACAAGATGGCGAAGAAGGCCGCAAAGCGAGCTGTTGGTGAAGCAAGGGATCGGGCATATGAGGACATCTACCAACGGTTAGGCACGAAGGAAGGTGAAAGGGACATCTATAAGATGGCTAAGATCCGGGAGAGGAAGACGAGGGATATTGGCCAAGTCAAATGCATCAAGGACGGATCAGGCCAACTCTTGGTGAAGGACGAAGAGATTAAGCATAGATGGCGGGAGTACTTCGACAAGCTGTTTAATGGGGAGAATGAGAGTTCTACCATTAAACTGGACGACTCCTTTGATGAGACCAGCATGCGTTTTGTGCGGCGCATTCAGGAGTCTGAGGTGAAGGAGGCTTTAAAAAGGATGAAAGGAGGCAAGGCGATGGGCCCTGATTGTATCCCCATTGAGGTGTGGAAAGGTCTCGGGGACATAGCGATAGTATGGCTAACCAAGCTTTTCAACCTTATTTTTTGGGCAAACAAGATGCCAGAAGAATGGAGACGGAGTATATTAGTACCAATCTTCAAGAACAAGGGGGATGTTCAGATTTGTACTAATTACCGTGGAATTAAGCTGATGAGCCATACAATGAAGCTATGAGAGAGAGTCATTGAGCACCGCTTAAGAAGAATGACAAGCGTGACCAAAAATCAGTTTGGTTTCATGCCTGGGAGGTCGACCATGGAAGCCATTTTCTTGGTACGACAACTTATGGAGAAATATAGGGAGCAAAAGAAGGACTTGCATATGGTGTTCATTGACTTGGAGAAGGCCTATGATAAGATACCACGGAATATCATGTGGTGGGACTTGAAGAAACACAAAGTCCCAGCAAAGTACATTACCCTCATCAAGGACATGTACAATAATGTTGTGACAAGTGTTCGAACAAGTGATGTCGACATCGATGACTTCCCGATTAAGATAGGACTGCATCAGGGGTCAGCTTTGAGCCCTTATCTATTTGCATTGGTGATGGATGAGGTCACAAGGGGTATACAAGGAGATATCCCATGGTGTATGCTCTTTGCGGATGATGTGGTGTTAGTTGACGATAGTCGGACGAGGGTAAATAGGAAGTTAGAGTTATGGAGACAAACCTTGGAATCGAAAGGGTTTAGGCTTAGTAGAACTAAAACCGAGTACATGATGTGCGGTTTCAGTACTACTAGGTGTGAGGAGGAGGAGGTTAGCCTTGATGGCCAGGTGGTACCTCGGAAGGACACCTTTCGGTATTTGGGGTCAATGTTGCAGGAGGATGTGGGTATTGATGAAGATGTGAACCATCGAATCAAAGCCGGATGGATGAAGTGGCGCCAAGCTTCTGGCATTCTCTGTGACAAGAGAGTGCCACAAAAGCTAAAAGGCAAGTTCTAAGGACGGCGGTTCGACCCGTAATGTTGTATGGCGCGGAGTGTTGGCCGACTAAAAGGCGACATGTTCAACAGTTAGGTGTGGCGGAGATACATATGTTGAGATGGATGTGTGGCCACACGAGGAAGGATCGAGTCCGGAATGATGATATACGAGATAGAGTTGGGGTAGCACCAATTGAGGAGAAGCTTGTCCAACATCGTTTGAGATGGTTTGGGCATATTCAGCGCAGGCCTCCAGAAGCTCAAGTGCATAGCGGACGGCTAAAGCGTGCGGAGAATGTTAAGAGAGGGCGGGGTCGACCGAATTTGACATGGGAGGAGTCCGTTAAGAGAGACCTGAAGGATTGGAGTATCGACAAAGAGCTAGCTATGGACAGGGGTGCGTGAAAGCTTGCTATCCATGTGCCAGAGCTATGAGTTGGTTGCGAGATTTTATGGGTTTCACCTCTAACCTATCACAACTTGTTTGGGACTAAAAGCTTTGTTGTTGTTGTTGTTTGTATATCATGGGAGCATTTAAGGTGTGGTATCACTGGATATTCTCCCCTTTGTACCAAGGCCGACTTACCATTTCTAGAAATTTTCATGGTCATGTTAAAAAGAATCATGGCACGTTCGTAAATCCCCTTGCTCATGTTGTTGGGATAAAGAGACACAGTGTATACTGTAAATAAGTGCATTACACTTTCGACTGTGTAGTCTCACCATAGCGGTAATTTGCAATAAAGTTTTCCAAAAAAAATACTATAGAAATGAGTTGTCATAATAGCCTTGTTTCATTTTTTTTTCCTTTCTTTCTTCCTCTCAGAGCTTGAAAATGCATACATACATACAGGCCTCGTGGGAGTATTTTTCTTTTACAAACCGCAATCTTCAAGACTGGTGAAGGTCTCTTGTAATTCCACGGGTCTCGCGATGGAATTTTGATTACAAGTAATTAATCTGATTGCAAGTAATTAGTCTGATGAGGATGAAGGCTACGATAATGAAAATGGCAATGGTCTCCTAAAAATGGCTATGGGATGTGTTCTTTTTTCAACGGTGTATGAAGATGTCTTTTTTTTTACAAGGGTATGAAGATGTGATGTTGATGCCGGGCTGCGAGCCCTGCTACAGTCCGCTCTGTTCGACTGATAAGAGCATGTACAATGATGCTATCTTAGGAGTGCCACGTAGGATAAATGATGGGGTGGAGGAGAGAGAATTCATAAGAAAAGACTTGTCTTCTCTTATTTAAGATAAAACAAGAGATGATCTTTTAGCACAATTTATCTCACCATGTATTAAGAAATGACTAGTTATTGAAGATAAAATTAAGATATAACCCATTATAGGCATATTTTTTTGTCATCTTTAAAATTACATGCAAGACTTAAAGATAAGGTTGTCTTATCTACATGCCCTGATAATTCTTGCATGGCCCGGTCCTAATACGGCTTCAGAAAGCACGCAAGCCCACGCACACGACTATACGGCCCATGGGCTATGTCATACGTCCCACCACCCCGGTTCGGCTGCACTGAAAGAGAAAAAGCCCAGTTCGGCTCGAACGCCGCGCCGCCGCGCCCGCACGCTGCTGGCTGACCGGTCCTTGCCCGGCGCCGGCGAGCCTCCCTTGCTGCCCCCCGCCCGGAGTGGGCAGCCTCGGCGTCCCCCTGGCCCGGCTCCACGCGGCGCGGCGCCCGAGGGTGTTCCGCCAGTCCAAGTGCCCGGTGGTATGTACGCCTCTCACACTCGCAGGCTTCTTCGCCGCGACAGGGGAGCCCGTGCCCATGGCGGCGCCGCCAGGAGACGCGCGTCGACGTCTCTGTTGTGCTTCATCGGCGCCATTATCCTCGTCGCGATCTCTCGCCACACCCTGCTCCCCAAGGTATTGATATTATCTCAGAAGCTTAATGCCTGAATAATCCCATTCCCAACTGGTAACAGTCAACGGGGCCAACGGTTCTTTTTCTGTATGCCTCGATTGGCTCGGCTGTTGCTGTTGATCCTTCCCTCCAGTAGCATTGCAGATCCAGCTGCCGAAGAACTGTGCTGCAATGATTTATATCATTAGCTAATTCATTGTCTTGTTTTCGTTCTTACGAGAGAAGGTGCCATTTTTGGGTTCCTTTTGGAGAGATTTATTGGCACCCGATGCTTATATTGCCACACCCAAATTTCATGGTGTGAAGTATGAGCTGCACACGCTCCCTGTAAGGCCTCCCTGTCTTGGTGTCTCCTTTTGCATTGGCCACGAAGGTATATCACTCAGAGATTTGCATGCTAGCCTCTTAGGTGGATGCGAAGGCTGTGGCCGACGGTGACACAATCACGGTGTATGTTGACGCGGCTGACCCTCGTGAGTCCGGCAATGTGCCCCGTGAAGTTTGGGAAGCTGTGTCAGAGCGAACCAAGGCGCGGGCGGCCAAGAACTATGAGAAGGCTGACACGCTGCAGAATATCATAGTGGATGCCGGATATAGGTAACTTCAAAATTAACATCAGGCAACTGCCTATTTCTGTGCGGTCTCACCTACTGAACGTTCTGAAACTTCTTCTAAGTGCAGGCAAGTTCCTGACTTGACAGGGGAACAGGTTCTCGCGAAGAAGTACCGAATCAGGCTAAGGTTTGTCACATCTTGGTCCCAATCCATGGTCAAGGGCTTTCTTCTTATTGGACTGCAGTTGAGATATTATAGAACGAAACGATGCAATGCAGAGGGATTGATGCACCAGAGAACTCGATGCCTTATGGTAAAGAGGCAAAAGAGGAGCTTGTGAGGCTTGTGCAGGGAAGGACCTTAAAGATTCCCATATATGAAACTGACTGGTACGGTCGATTAGTTGGAGATGTTTACTGCAATGGGGTCTTCGTGCAGGTAATATGTCATATTATTATCTCTTTGGAGTCACCTTTGGAGGTCTGTTATACTGGAAATAGCGTATGCAAGTACTGGATCATCTATGGTACATGTGCTATCTGGCTTTCTTAAACACTAATAGTCTTGAAATTGCACATTTACAGCAGAAGAAACTGAATGTGAATTACTTAAAGAAAAAAACTGAACGTGTATTCAAGATTTTGTAAGTTCTTAGAACTTTTACCAGAGCATAAATCGGAGCAACACGCTTAAAATAATACTATTAAACTCTGCAGGAATCATGACGTATCTCCTCAGCTGAAGATAAATACATGCTTTATGGGCTTGTTAACCACTTAGCGACTTTTCAATTAAGAAACAATCAAGTTTTCATATCTTGCTTTAACAGGAACACATGCTGAAGAAAGGCCTCACATGGCACTACTCTGCGTATGATCAACGGCCTGAGCTTGCCGAGGTAAGCAGTATGACTCGCTTGACAGCTTCAATTCACATGACTGAAGAGCAGTATAGCGCACTCTGAACATTTCTTCAACCTACCATATATACACTTGAAAAGACCTTGACAGACTAAAATTTTGTCAGTGGGAGAAGCAGGCGCATGCGAGCGGGTTGGGTCTGTGGGCGCTGCTGAACCCTGAGAAGCCATGGGAATGGAGGAAGGAGAAGCGCACGAGGAGATGGTGAATCATCAGTGACTCGTGCCCAAAGATCTCTAGACGACTAGACCAGAACAATAGCTTCAAACACTGTATAATGTGTTCTCTGAACCTCAACACTTTCATGTTGTAACAACCTCTGTAGAATGAAGCAGGCAGCATCGATTGGTGTAAGCTCCGATTAGGGACTCATTCTCTTTTCTGCATTAGACTGTTGTAAAACCTGCAATGATTTCTGTAAAACATGATCTGATGATCAATTGGTGGTAATGGATTGAATACTCCTAGCCAGTGGCAGACCTAGGAATTGAGGTTTGCCGGGACGAATATTTCCAGTATAAAAGTTTTGAGTTACAAACAAAATTTGTACTCAAGAAACAAATGCTGGTTTGTATGCGATTGGAGCAGGTGGCTATGGAGGTTTTTTCCCAACATGGGTGACAACATAACCTTCGGATCGATCCACCACCTCCATCGACATAGGCATAGTGTCGGTCTATAGGGCTCTATTGTTGCCGATTTGTCGGGTTTTTTTCATCAATTTTTGTCAGACCTTCATATTGGGCCGTGTGCATCTTAATTATGCAGAGGCCAGGTATTACTCATAATGCTTTGTATCCGCTTGATGCTACATTTTGAGATAATAAAATCATTCTTTATCGAAAAAGAAACAAATGGTTAACATAAGACACAAAATTTCAAGCGAGAACAAAAAAAAATTGTGCTATACATTGCACATGTGAACCCCAAAATTCCATTCTGCCTCCTCTTTGGAGTCCATCGTCGGCGCAGTGGCGTAGCCAGGATTTTATGTCAGGGTGGTCCAATTGGCACCAGAAGAATTACACCACAAATTTATCAAATCTAACATATGCACACAGAATATATCCAAAGCACATATCAATAAGGTCTATCAAAGCATATTAAAATTCATGTTCAAGCCTTACATTCGCTTAAAATATAAAACACCTTATTTGTCGGATCCATATAAAAAAAAGGGATGCAATGTCTCCTGTCCTCTTCATTTTTGCAACGGTTGTACAAAAAAGTTAATACTCCCTCCATTTCTTTTTAGTCCGTATATAAGGTTTGGTCAAAGTCAAGCTTTGTAGAGTTTGACTGACTTTATATTAAAAAATATAAACATTCACAATATGAAATCAATATTATCAGATGCACCATGAAACATATTTTCATACTATATAGTTTTAGTATTGTAGATGTTCATATTTATTTATATAAACTTGGTCAAACTTTGTGTAGTTTGACTTTGACCAAATCTTATATGCGGAGTAAAAAGAAACGGAGGGAGTACATTAACTCAGTTGGAACAAAGCCCTAATGATTCAATCGGTTCAATTGACAAATTATCAATTACAAAAAACTTTAAAGCTTGCACTCAACAAATCGTTCGAATCTTCATAGCAAAAGGAAATTGTGCTTTGAATTAGAGAAGAACAAAAATCTTACTCTGAATTGAAGTAGAAAAGAAAACAACTAGTGCGCACTGCACGGCGTTGTACCTATGTGTGCGTGCGCGCTTCCTTCATCGGCCGCTGGGACGTGCGTCCTTTGCTGGCCGCCTGTCCGTCGCCGTCAGCCTGTGCCCTGCCGGAGTGCCGGCCTTGCGCTGGGCGATGGCGCTAGGTTTCAGTCTTTCAGACTTCTAGAGCCCAGATCACCAGAGGAAAAGGAGACGACGGGGTGTTGGGAACGATCAGCGTACATACACGTGTACATGGGCTAAGACCTGATTTGGGCCTGGGTATGTTTCCTTTTTTTTCCAGAGAAGTACTAAACTAATGGGCCAAATTCCAGGGTGGTCCATGCCCTACAGCTACGCCACTGCGTCGGCGGTCAGGCCGTGCTCTGCTCGAGGCGCAGAAGTAACAAATGACCAGTGTGAAATTCCATTTCCATCAGGGGTCTCCGCGCAAACTAGCTGAGGACCGGCGACCGCCAACGGAGGACACCGGGGAGGATCTTCTACTCCGCCGACGACAGAGGTACGCCCGCCTGCCGAAACCCTAATACCCCGCCTGAGGATTTCTTCACCGCGGTCCCTAATCCCGCCGCTCCAAGGTCTTAATTCCCTGCTTAATTACTTGTGAAAACTCCATTCACCAACTGTCCCCAAATCTGTCTATATGCATCTTACCACGCGGAGGCCGGAGAATCATCTATCCTCAAATGTATCTCTTGCTTTGACATCAGTGTGTCTGCATCAGATTTGCATCTGATGCAGTTGATTACTACTAGTACCGTTGGATGCCTGGTTACTTAATTGTTCCTTCAACGTCACAGTGCGCTGCATGAATGTTTCACCCGTCAATAGTTGAGATGAATTAGTAGTACTTTTGTTCTGCTTTTTTCGATGGGGAGACACTGCACTGTGCAACAACTGATATGTTTCCTTTTTTCAGTTTTTCAAGATCATATCATCTGTATTGTACTCCCTCCGTTCGGAATTACTTGTCTCTGAAATGGATGTATATAGAACTAAAATACATTTAGATACATCCATTTCTACAAGTAATTCCGAACGGAGGGAGTACCACTGTGGTGCTTGCTACTGTTTCGGTCACTTCACAACATAGCATAATTATTAAGTTGCTTCTGCCGGATGCTAATGTGCCATAGGTGGTTTAACTGTGACCTGTACGAAAAGCTTGGGATCGTTTGATGCGTTGAGACCATGAAGCAGCAAGCGCAGGGGATTTCGAGTGGCATGTACAGATACATGCATCGCTGCGAGAGTGGAGTTAATATTCATGATGTCTTTGTGGAGAGGAGCGCGTTCTGGGTGCTGTTTTCATATGTCGGTGTGATGTGTCTTCTTGCGAATGTTTCCCATACCTTGTTGTCGAAGGTAGTTTACTTGGACTCATTCAGAAAACCCAAGTATGGCTGATTGGTTTTTCACTATCCCACTGTTCGAATCAGGTGCTCTGCTTGCTTATGTGCTCATATGTTTTCATGAGTTTTTTGTGCTAGCCATACGGAAGCACTTACGAACAAATATGTTAGGTTCCTAAAAAAATCATATTAGAAATGTCTTATTGATGATGCTATCACCATGCTGTGGTTTTGATTCAGGTGGTGTAGGTTAGCACATTTTTCATGCCTGTGATTGTCCCACTCTATATGTAATGACTTTCCGTGCTTAATTGTTTCAGGAGAGTTTATGCCTTGGTTCCTTTTGGAGTGTTCTGTTTTCTGCTATCGTCGCTAAATGCTTGCAATACAAGCCTGTGAAGAAAGGTTGGATGCTGATATTGTTTCTTTGTTACCCCATTTTCTTGCTTTGCAGTGAAATTTCACCTTAAAGTTGCATAACAATGGGATACTCTTGTTTATCAACATCCATGTTGGAAATGCTTATATGTGCAGAGTCATTGGTGATCATGCCAGCTTTTGGTATTCAGCTAGAACAGCACTTTTGGAGGTATGAAAGAACCAGTATGGAGTCTACATGTGTGCATCCAGATTCCACTCTTGCTGTCAGCATTTGTCACTCCTCGAAGTTTTATGGCATTTCAAGAGCACTTAACAATTGCAAACAGATATATGGAATTAAAGGCTTTGGATACCTAACTAAATAAGTACTTTGCATTTGAGCAGAAATAAAGTACTGCTCTCTTGTCAGTACTTGGCTGGTGAAAAGATTTGCAAAGGATAGAGTTGTTTTGCATTAACTAGACATGACCATCGCCTGCTTGGCTTCGCAAACAGATATATGGAATTAAAGGCTTTGGATACCTAACTAAATAAGTACTTTGCATTTGAGCAGAAATAAAGTACTGCTCTCTTGTCAGTACTTGGCTGGTGAAAAGATTTGCAAAGGATAGAGTTGTTTTGCATTAACTAGACATGACCATCGCCTGCTTGGCTTCTTGACCTTTACATTATTTTCATTAAGGTACAGAAAACAGAGGCTTCTTGATCCTTTTTATCTCCTTGACATGTATGTTATCTTTCACAGTGGAAGAGTAGATCGCAAGTTTGTGCCCATCAGCAAGATCCTACAGCCGGTGCTGAATGAGTGTGTGACCCCCGTTACATGCTACTGGAGCTTGGCATTGCTTCTACGCGATGAAGACGAGACCATGCTCGTTTTTCAGGTAACTCTCGCCTGCTTTCAATTGATTTTGAAGTGCAATGTCAGGGACCTGTGGTCTGAAAGAGACTTATGTGCAGAACCTGCATCCACCCGTCAAACTGTTGCTCCCAATCTGGAAAGCTCTGTGCGCATTCACAAACTCCGGCAGCATTGGCCCTTCGGTAGTTCTTCAACAAGATGATTTGCATAATCATGTTGATGGAGATGGTGCTGTGGACTCCTGAATAGTTCCCTGAAGACCTCTCTCTCTCTGCCGAGTGACAACAGGATGTTCAGTTGTGTCACCACTAACTGAAGATCAATTGTCAAGTGGAGGATTTTGGTGATACCACCAGGGGTCTGAGCCTCTGATCCTTCCGGTCGGTCCGACCGAATTATTTCTCTTTAGCTGCAGAAGAAATTGAACGCTCCACTTGTAACTTTGTCCTGTCCATGTGGTATTTCTGTCCACCGAAGGAGATTCACAACAGAATGTACCATAATGCCTTTTTCAGTTCCTAGATGGGAGTCCATGTTCTGGGGTGCAAATGTAGTGACACTGTAAGGATGGTCCAACTGCTGATAATAAAATCTTGGGCACTTGCATGCAGTCATATCCGTTGCAGTAAATATTTTTCTTCTTTCTTTTTTTCCTTGGAGAAGATGTGAAAATACAATAGATTGGATCATCAGGCTACAGCTTACCAAGAAGATACATTAAGCATCTACTGATCGTTTTGGCTCGCCGCTACACTGCATGTACTGTACATCATTTTTTTGTTGATCAGAACAACGTCGGTGCTCAGTGGATCTCAG